TAGAAGTCTTTATAGTTAGACATCAAATATATAGTGTTGGAAGTAGTCTACAAATAGTTGAAAAACAATAGAATAGATATTATTTATTAATGAAAATAAGAAAATGTACTTAATAAAGTGATTATTTTTTAATAAATTTATTTTAAATATTTTGTTTATCTTTAATTATATTGATAATACATTAATAAATAAAGGAGATATAAGGGGAAAAGGGATAAATTAAATATGAATATAAATAAATATAATTGTATTAAATAGTTTCAATTGATCAATTTTTTATTATTTAAAAAACCTGAGAACAAAGAGTAAAGATAACATTAAATGAAAACTCTAATTCTGTTTTTCCAATCTAGCAAGAAATCGAGCAAGTGAACTATGAGAACATTATAAAAACCATTTGTCTCTAATTCACTATTTATTTACTAAATTCTAGTAGTGCTTAAAAATCTGATAGACAAGTTAGAATTAAGTGCTGCTAAAGAAAAACATGTAAGATTTAAGTTATCACCATTGAAACACATATATATTCAGTGTTCTAATCATTTAAAAACTATTAATATAAACTTAATAATAATAAATGACAAAAACAGGTATTTAATTATATAATAACATAATTCTTCCGGGAATGAGTTCCATACGGTGATAAATATTTACTTGCAGGTTTTTCTTGGTAACATCAATTTATTAAATAGGTTATCCAATAGGTTCTTTCATTCAGAATTATTGTGTTGGCTTTTGCTTTTTTTGAATCAAACCGCTTTAATAAATTCTAAGTGGTGTGATAATCAACATTAATTTTTGAAAATATTCTGTTAAATGCCTAAAGCAAATGTTATCATACCGCACTGCCTTTAGTACCCCCCTATTTAATACCCTTTCATATAATACCTGGATACATTACAAAAAAAATCTTGAAAAAATTGTATAAGATCTGGGTATTAAGATTTAATAGATTTAATGAAAAATTATTGAATTATAATACAACCATGTCACAGTACCCCAGCTTATGTACCCACTCTTGGTTAAGTACTCAGGGGTATATTGCTATGTATAATATCTTTCTTTTTTGATAAGACCCGGGTACTAAAGGCAGTGCAGTATGGTAGTAAAATTATTCTTAAGCAGCTTCTAACACCTAATTCAAAAAGTAAAAAATGCTCCCAAGTATATGTTATCCAGATCTAAACCTAATTCAATTATTTTATTCGTTTACTCTAATTATTCTAACCTTAAAGAGTAGATGAAAGTTTAAAACAATTTTGAAATATTTATCTGCAAAGTTTGTTTTTCTTCATAGCTCAAGTTCTCGGTTTCGATTTTACTCCAGTCTACATCATCATCGCGATTCATAAAAAATAAGGTATTAATAATAAAATTTTGGTTAAAAGAAATATTTTCAACTTCAACATCGTCATCCTTATCTGAAAAACTGATATTAAAAGTGCTGCTTTCTTCAAAATCGAATTCGAAGTCACTCATTTCATCTAAAATTATAAAATACAAGGGTTAATATGCTTCAACTTTGACAGAAGATCTTCTTCGAACTAAAAAAAAGTTAAGCATAAAATTTTTATGGTTTAATAAAGAAATAATTCAAATATATTTTTATCTTAAGACATGATGCATCTATAGTTTCACGAATACGGGGTTAGCATAGAAAAAACTTTTATAAAAGCAAAAATTTTATATAAAAATTAATTGATCGATATACTAATTTTCATATGAACAACATTTTGAACCCCTGTATAAGGACATGTCTTGTGCCTATTAAGCTCCTTTAACATGTTTGACTATTCTTCTTCTAAAATATCTTGTACAAGTTCACTATACCAACTTTTTTGTATTTTCTCTATTAGCCTGTATATCTCTTTCTAATTGCTCTTTCAAAGCTTTTAATTGAAATTGCGAGGTCTAAATTGTTCTTGAAAATGCTCTTTCATTTTTATAAGAACCTCTTCTAGATCAGTGATAAGTTCTCTCTATAACTCTTAGTTTACTAAGAGTTTGTCAATTTGTATTTTCTTAAAAGGCTTTTCTAGAAGGCTCGCAATCATTTTATCTTGCTTGCTATCTATTATTTGATTTCTTCTTTTGATATTTTCTTCTATTTCTATTCTATTGTTTTTCAACTATTTGTAGACTACTTCCAACACTATATATTTGATGTCTAACTATAAAGACTTCTA